TAATCATCTCAGGCCTTGCATGTGGGGGATTGTCAAAAGTATGGTCCCTTTTTGGGTCCCTTAAATTAGGCCCCGTATTCTAATAGGGACCCAAAAAGGGACCATAATTTTGACAATCCCCCATGTAGCTTCTTGTGAGGTGAGCTAGAGTCTAAGCGGAGATGATGTAGGAAAGTATTATAGGGGTACGAAGGGGGATACTAGGAGTTCAGACTACAGCTCATGTGGGTGCCGTTCAGGGTCCACATAAGAGAGGCCCTAGACAGTGGCTAGGAAAAGCCAGAAGTTGCGGCTTCTCAAGCTTGTGGCCGGTGCAGGGGGATCCGACCTGGTTATATAGGGGTTGTGTAGGAATAATGGAAAAGAAAATGGAAACTACTATATCACAATGGGGTATACACTGGGGTTATTTACAGGTAACATAAAAGATCAAAGGCAGCAATTGCGCTCTATGCTCTGGACCCGGACACTTGGGCAGCTTCCGAAATAAAGGTCCCACCCTTTGGGCCACAAAACTGATACTCCATAAGTCGTACCCCAAGAAAGCGTGCAATTTTGAGACTGTGCGATTCCTAACTGTGACCCGATGCCTCACAATCCCGAGCCCTTGAACCCCCACACGCCTGGACCCCTAAATCCTGCATCTACCCAACCCCTAAAGCTCCCAAATCCAAAATGACGATCATCATTTCCTTGAACTGCTAGTGTTGTTTTTCTTATTGTCAATATTACTTTTGTTGTTATGAAGGTTTTAAAGTGATTACCTTAAACCCAAAACCTAAACCCTAAATCTTGCAGAACACTGCGGACGCCCTGACTCGGCTCGGTGTTCTCAGCCGGGCATCGGCAGTCGTGAGTTCTGAAACCTGGATACAGAAGAGTAATGTAGACCCGTCATTAATAAACCCCCTCCTATTACGAGCCTAAGTATTAATTCTAATCCCTATTATGGCGAAGAGGTTAGCAATCAGGGGTCTGGGCTAGGGTCAAGGGTTTTGGGCACCTCAAATAAATATTCACCCAACATAGTACCACTTATAGTTGGGGTACTATTTAACCCTATAGGCCCTTAACCGGGGAGGTAATCATGAGAGGGAGGAAGTTGGTCCTTCCTAGTTGGGAATGGGGGGAATAGTTGACGGACACCATTCCTAGGGATGACTCAACCTGAAGCTGCTGTCAACTCAGGACTTACTCCGTGCTTCTCAGACGGCCGACATCATCGCGGCGCCTTGCTGCAGTTCGGAGGTTCACCACAGATACTTGAAAGGCCGTTTACTCATAATCCACGACCGACCTAGTACTGTGACCGTTATATAATTATGCGGCGCACCCCCCCCACCAAGTATTTACATATAATTTGGTTATAGGTATAGTTAAACTTCGAAATAGCTTTTGCAAGCGCGTCCCAACCAGATGCCCCGCCCTTGTTGACTTTATACACAAGGGTCAGATGCGGTAGATAGAAAGATGAACTCAAGAAATCTTATGTCAGTTAGATGTTCAGCTTGGGGGTTAGGCCGACAGCATGATAGGGATAATATTGGGGATATATTAGGGATTGTAGGGGTAACATTGGGATCATTGAAAAGAAAATGGCAACTGCCATATTATATAGGTATTTCGGTACAGTGGGCAGCCTCTCACTATGCAGTTTCGACGACAAAGACTGACTCTCCCACTGTGAAAGTGGGAGGCGAATCCCGGCGACGACAATGCCTGAGGAGACAAACTTAGTTTTGCGGCCTGGGCCGGGAGCATTTCATTTCGGGCCTCCGGTCCACTTCAAAGCCCCATGCACGCTTAGGATCAGTGATTCTTGAGGCCCTAATGCCTTTGATGTGCATTCTCATTGCCCCTCATGCCCCCAGGTATTTATCCAGATAACATCCTGGACATAACTCTCCCTTGGTGTCCAACCCCTTTTGACTCACGTGCCATTGAAAAAAAGGTCTAGATGAGATTCCATGTTGGTTTGGGGGAGTACGTAATGCGCTTGGCCAGTTTGGCGTGTGCCCCATGTAACTCCCTCTGCCTCATTGAACCCCCCGCAGCGTTAAGCATTCCCGGTATATGTTAATAAGTCACCATGGGAGCATTTTAGATCATGGGGGGTGAGGGGATTAACATTCGGAGGAGGTGATTCGTCCAGCCATGCCCCGCACTCTATTCACTTCTACGCAAGTTTTAGACAGAAAACGGGGTATGCTAAGTCACCCAAACTCCCAAAACCCTCAAATCCTAAACCCCAAACCCCTAAACCCTGAATGGTAGCTTCCATTTTCTTTTCCATTATCCCTATATAACCCCTACAGGCATGAGCACTACAACCAGACGAATTCGTCGGCTCGACCTTGGCCTCCTTTGTTAATTCTCTTAGGCTCTTAGGTGCCACGACATTTTGAGAAAAAAGTGCAGTCCCCGTTACAAGTGATAAGGGCCCTGGAAAATTCCTGATTTTGCGAAACCCGATCATGGATCCAGATCTCATGATAGGTGAAACTTGCACAGAGGTTTCAGAGACGGCAGAACGGCTATCTTTTTGTTATTTCTTTCTGTCTAGTAAGTTCTTAATGGGGCTACAACTGTCAAAGCCACCACATCGATGCGGAGGATCTTGTTTCGGGACCTGCGTGGTAGCCTTGAAGCCCTTTATGCTCCCTGTACCTTGGATACTGCCCCCACTCGGTAACAGCTGGATAAAAGTTTCAATATGGTTATATATAGCCCTTAATGGGACCCCTAATGTAGACTGTTACTGGGTGGGGGCAGTACCCAACCTGTACCGTACATCGGGATTTTGAGGTAGCTCCATGTCCAGAGACAGCTAGGGCCACAACTCCCAAGCCTAAACCCTACGGTGCCAAAACCCCCAAAACCTGCACGCATAATCCTGTGGGCCCAAACTCCTAAACTCTGCATGTCTATGCTCAGAAACTGTGAATTCGAGGCTGCCAGCACCAAGAAGCTTGTGCGAGCCAAGGACAAAGGCCACCCTGCAGCAGTTTCATAAAGCTCCTACTAAGGGCCCAAGTGACCAAGTAGTATAAGAGTTTAACCAGAACCACACACCCCTGAGGTTCCAAGTGACCCAATAATGGGGCTCTGTCAGACCCAAACAATACAGCTTAAACGGCTTTTATAGAACCTAAAGCCCTAATCATATTTGGATGCTTGATCTTTTTGGGCGTCTTCTGGCAATGCGCGCGAAACCACCGGTACATCCTCAGGATCACTCAGGCTCCGTTCATTTCCGTGTATGCTGACCTGAAACCCCAGACCATATACCCTTAAAGGAGACTGAAACTCTACACAAACTTACCCCTAAACTCGGAAACCTTGTAAAAGCTTAAAAGTAAGCCCTACACACCATGCGCTAAACCCCACAACCCTAAAACCCTACAAACCCTAACACCCTAAACCCTACCCAGACCCTCCTATGTAGTCCCTTTTTGGGTAGTATATTATGATCCTCTACCCCAAAACCATACCAAACCCAAAAAGGAACTACATTGGTGCCCTTGGGTAAACCTGAAAGCAGGATTCCGGGAGATCAACTTTGGCCAGCTCCAGGGGACTTCCTCAGACAGCCCCGACAGCTGCTGGGCCAAAAAGTTGCGGGTTTAGGGCTTAGGGTTTTAGGTTTGGGGTTTAGGGGTTTAGGTTTAGGGTTTTAGGTTTAGGGTTTAGGGTCTAAGGGTTTTGGGGTTGGAATACCTTTAATAGGACGATTCATTCAGGAATGGGGAATGGATAGGAAAAGGGGAACTAGAAAAGGGAAAACTAGCACGTTACTTGGGGTTTGTTTATCAGGCTTATCGGGATGGGGGAAGAGGTTACAGAGACTAGGATGACTTCTGGTGGGGAATACATAAAAACCATCCAGTCCCGCATTCCCAATCGAGCAATCTGAGTAAGTGTTCACCATCTTTTCCGTCCGGCATCCTGCCTGCATTTTGGGAAGCACCCCGCCAGATCTGCAAAGCTGGTGGGCTGTCGTTTGGATTAGCCGTTCATTGTACCCTGGGGCAGAATTCCGCCTTGATCTCGGAAGTTGGTTTGCAATATGCCTTATTTATGTGGTATGCGCGGAGTGCTTTGGAGCGCAAGGGTTATTCAAGCAGTTCCCTGGATAAGCGCCCGCAGGCCATGGGTCGCTAGGGCACCAAGGAAATGTTGGCACATGTTGGCACTACAGTTGCCAGTACACATGCTGCGTGGTTCATGGAAACCATGGGAGCCTTGTTGCAAAGCCGCCGCAGTAGCTACTGTAGTGATCTTACCGCTGACTTCCACTTCTGGTGCTCAGACCAGGGATTCAGGAGGTCACTTGATTTGGGTTTCATGTGGTGGGTGTTGCAGCGGTCTTTGGGGCCGACGCGTTTTTGGGCTTGAAATTGCCCAACCTACCCAGTCTGACAGTTCCATCAAGGTAGGAACTAGATTCGGTGAAGGGTCTGGCGACCAAAAGGTTGCCGACGATTTGCGGTGAAAAGCTCTACTGTTTTAGGGGGCGAGAAGGAAGCCGCATTTGGAGATGTTGCATATTAGGGTTATGTTGGGGCTATATTGGGATAATGGAAAATAAAATGGAAACTACTATATCGTATAGGGATTTTATAGGGGATACATAGGGGACGGCTGCTCAGAGCACATGGCTGGTTGTTGAAGCCTGCTCGTGCCGGGGAGCTTGAAAAAGCAATTGGGTATATTATAGTCTATTATAGTATAGTATAGGGATTCACCTGCTGCGGCTGCTACGAAGATGTTTTTTTGGGGGGTGGGGGGGTTGGGTGCTGTGACTTCTTGGGAGGAGCCTGAAACCAAAAACCTTGATTCCTAGGCCCCCAGGAGACAATTTGCTTATGAGAGCCATTTTTTGACCGGGCCAAGATCATGTTTTCGCGAGTCTAAAAAGACTTGGCCAAGACTAAAAACACTTGGCATCCTTTTCCGTTCCTTCTGGGGATTTCAGGATCAGGTTCTGACCCAGCAAAAGGCTTCTTCTTTTGAACTAAAGCGAACGAAGTGCTGCGGCAAAGGCCTATGGTCTTGCAGCAGGGTTCAGGTATGTGGGGGATTGTCAAAATTATGGTCCCTTTTTGGGTCCCTACAATAATACGGGGCCTAATTTAGGGGACCCAAAAAGGGACCATAATTTTGACAGTCCCCCATGTGGCTCGCCAAATCGAGCAGCGAATTTTGGGATAAGATGGTATAAGAGAAGGGCCCAGTCCCAGGCAAGGCACTTCAGGCAGCCAACGTCAGCGCCGGGATCTCAGTTTTGGAGTGACAAGCAAGTCCGGGAACAGGAGTTGGGTCAAATTTTGGGGACAGGTCCGTGTTACAGCTTACTACATCTTTGCAAACAAGAAGACAGTATTGGGATGCACCAGCCAGCGCCGCGCCTTTTTTTGCTTCATACAGCTTGTATGTTATATTGAGACTTTCATAAATACTACAAGTCTAGTGTAGTTCCCAAAGCCCTGGGTACTCCGGGTCTGGCTTCAACAGCACCTACAAACATGCAGTAGCTGCTGTGAGCTTTGTCCTGGGATCCTTCACTGGCTCCAGCATATTAAGAGCTATGGTAGGGTTCGCTGGCACAGTCTTGTACTGTGTGTTTGCGTGATTTTGTCGTAGGTGAAGTGCCTTGTGTTGAGACAGAGGTCCCTTTGGTAGTTTAGTAGAATCCTCAATATGAGCTATAGTCTAAACTCCTTAAAGGGGGTTATATGGGGGATTATATGAGGGACTACTATAGGGGATATTAAGGGGGATACTAGGAGTTTAGACTATAGCACATATATTCCCCAATAAGGACCGATGCCCAGTAATTTGCCGGGTAATTTTGCATGTAGCTCATGTGTATTTGGGTTCCGCTGGTACCCTTTCTTTGACAACCCTACTACAGTCCCCAATCTAGATTGAGATTAGGCCCCTGTTCGGATTGCAGCCTTCTTTTCAAGAAGAGGAAAATATTACTTGGCTCAACCTAAACCCTAAGCACCAAAAATCGGCTCACCCAATCCCACGCCTCCTCACATAGTTGATTCACAGCCCATCCAAGCAACTGCTTCTCTGAGGCTTGGCTTCAAGGAGACCTCTCCAAGGCACCACTGTGTTGGGGTTAAGGGTTTTGGGGTTTAGGGTGTTTAGGGTTTAGGGTTTTAGGATTTAGGGTTTTGAGGGGTTAGGGTTTTTAGGGTTTAGATTTTCTTGGCTTGTTTTAAAACGCTCCACAAACGGGGTTGTATTGTCGTATATGGGGGCAAGAAGACAATGGTAACCATTATGGTGTTTAGGATTTAGGTGTGAGGGCTAACAATTAGTAGGTCAAGGCCAAAAACTTGCTGTTTGATATGAGTATAGGGAAACAAGCACACACAGCTCAGATGCGTGGGATCTCTGTAGACTTTTGTAGGAGAGCATTCCGCTGTACCACATCAAGTGTCAGTTAAACAGTGAGGCCTGTGAAGAGACATTGCAGAGTGCCTGCCAACAGTTCAGAAGCCCATGACGCAACATGGTAGCTTCCCTTTGTGTTTCCTGTTGTTCATGGAAAAATGTGTGAAGCCAGCACATTGCATCCCCCTCCTCTACACCCCAAACCTTTTCCCCATATACACCGCCGGCAGGGCTTTCCCGACGGGGAGGACGGCCAGTCGCTGATGTCCAGGTCGCTGTCTGCTCTGCGCCAGGCTGCAAAGCTTGGCGAGGCAGATATGGGGTTTAGGGTTTGGGTAGGGCCTGAGGACTACTGGGCTTATGTAGGGATACTGGAAAAGAAAGTGGAAACTACTGTAGTATATTGGGGTTACGAAGGGATAGTGGGAAAGAAAATGGAAACTACTGTTGTAGTCGTTTTGGTGAGCAACATATGCTAGTAGTAGAAGTATAGTGGCGGTGGTAGTAGTGGGGGTGTAGTAGCGGTGGTAGAAGTGGCAGTAGTAGCATGGCACGTCTGTACAGGGATGGTACGTCAAGAGCTGGGACGTTTCGCGGTGTAAGCCGCTTATTGCGTATTGATGTAGGCTACATGGCAAAGGCTTCATAGAAAGTCTACTATCGCTCGCGGCGCAAGTCTGTCATTCAATAGGGAATCCCAAGTTTGGTGAGAATAAGTGAAGCAGGTAGAGCTTCCGATACGGAACCCTTTTGCACAGAACTCTCAGATTTCAGATGCTTTCTTTAAGGCCAATTGAGATTTTCATATTGGCACCCCCTTCGTTTCTCAAGCTGGGCTGTAGCACCGTAGGCCCGACAACCCTGTTCATGCCGGGAACAGGTAGCAAAGCCCCGCCCGTCTTCCACCTTGCTCGTCTCGCTGAAGCAGTCTGTCATTGCTCATGGACGCCAGCATTCATGGAATCACTGCAGGCTTCATCGATACCAAAGCCATGAGATCATGGCTAGTGTTATTGTTATTTATATTCTTATTAGTTGTTGTTATTGTTATCATTATGCTTTAATATTGTTATTCTTCCGTAGTACTGTCAGCATTATTACTTGCGTTCAGGTTGTCATTGTTGTCGCGCACGGCGGCATGCCAGAGCCACAGTCCGTGGGCCTTGTGCGGAAGAGGTTAAGGGTGAATATCGTTGAGTAGAGCACCGCCGTACTTAGATGCACTTCGGATCAACATTTTGGCGTAGATGTGTGCCTTGCTCTGCTATGGAGGTCTGAGAGAGTCTGAGGCACTTGCCAAGAAGAATTTATTCAATTTCTTCTAGGACCTGGCGCAGGATCCCAGGTATCACAAAGCTGCTTCCCCCCCCCCCTTGTCCCGGTGGATTTCAAACCCTGGCCTGCGCGCCTGCCCAGAAGCGTCACAACGGCCTCAAGCCCAAGCCACAAGTTATCAAATGTCCTCAGAATGCTTATCTTCTCCACTGTGAACATACTTTCTTCTTGTACTCCTACTCTCACTCCTACACCCTGATCTGGGTTGCTGTTAAGGAACTTAAATTAAGTTGCCATAATGGGTATATATAGTAAATAATAGGATTTCCCCAATATAGGAACTTAATTTAAGTTCCTTAACAGCAACCCAGTGATCTCAGAAGCTGTTAATAAGCTCTCCATAGCTGTCCTATTTGGGTGAAGTGCCCCTAGCGCGCATGGTTACTGAGGATCCGCTGGAGTGCAGCGCAGATCGAGAGTGGCGAGGTGTTGAGAGGGGTGCAGGGCTGTAGGGAGCAGATCTTTGCCAACAGAGATGGGGGAAACCCTAAACCCTGCACCCCCATTATCCCCTATAGCCTATAACCCTAAAGACATGGCCGGGAAAGGAACATGCGAAGTTTGTAGTCTCAGGCTTAGCTTGGCAATCTGTAGCTTGGGCCCGCTCGCTGCACTTTAATCAGGCCGCACGGAAACTCAAATTCCGTTAGCTAGCGCTAGACATGGAGTCTCGCTTGGGCCCGCTCGCAGCAGCACGGAAACTCAAATTCCGTTAGCTAGCGCTAGACATGGAGTCTCGCTTGGGCGGCATCATGGGTGCGCAGCTCACGTTGTTGTGAATGATATGTTGGTTTGATTCCTGGAAAACAGAAGTAGGTTGAGTATCTTATGCGGTGCAAGACCTGTCATCATTGGCCATAGCAGGTCTTTGGAATGCAGCTTGTATGCACCAAGATGTAGATTGCATGGTGAGGGCCCACAGCCTACAGATCCCAGCCTGTTATTGTGCACCTGTTCCTGGTGTTCCTGTGGATGCAGGCGCCTTTGCGCCGCGGTGAGCCTTTCTCGGAACGCGGGGTGGCGCCGCCTTGGCAGCAAGAAGGGGCTTTGGGACGTGGATTAAAGGCAGACTGCAGACGTCTGGAGGCAGAGTGGGGTTATATTGGGATAATGGAAAATGGAAAATAAAATGGAAGCTACTATAGTATATTGTGGTTATTTTGGGACAATAGTAATACAGGTTTAGGTTCCAATTTTCAAGAAGTGCAGAGGAGCACCTACAAGGAGCGGGAGCCAGAAGCGTCTACATCAGCAAACAATGGAGGTCAAGAAGGCTAGCTGAAACTTCTGGTCGTTGCGCAGGGAAGATCCCCTTCCCGTTTACAGATGTTTCGTCATTCTTGATGGTTAGTTAGTACCCGTCTACTTGGTCAAGCAGTGAAATTAGCCAACCCTGCTGAGTCAGCACAAGTTGTGACGTCGTGTCTGAGCTTTTATAGTAGCTTCCATTTTATTTTCAATTAACCCATTATAACCACAATATACTATAGTAGTTTCCATTTTATTTTCCATTACCCCAGTATAACCCCAATAAGGTTGATATGGGGATCAGCCGAGGTTGGTCAAACAGCCGCACCTTGGTCTGCATTGCTGCTGTACTTTGTTTATATTGGGGTCATATAGGGTATAATATTGGGGCTATGTAGGGATAATGGAAAAGAAAATGGAAGCTATTATATTATAATAGGGTACATATTGGGGTTATTGTTATAAGTATAGATTGAAGACGTCTTGCGCGTACATGTTTATGTGGTATGATTCGTCGGTGTTGTGGCACAAGTAACAGAGTAGCAGCAAAAATGTCATTGACTATAGTATTAACCGTTAGTGGCGCAGTGTTTGTCGTCATGGTCGTAGTCGTAATACTATAGAAGTAGTATAGTGGTCGTCGTCGTCGTCGTCGTCGTCGTCGTCGTCGTCGTCGTCGTCGTCGTGGTCTTCGTCGTCGTCGTGGTCTTCGTCGTCGTCGTGGTCTTGGTCTTGGTCTTGGTCTTGGTCGTCGTCGTCGTGGTCTTGGTCTTGGTCTTCGTCGTCGTCGTCGTCGTCGTCGTCGGCGGCGGCGGCGGCGGCGGCGGCGGCGGGGTGGTGGTGGTGGTGGTGGTGGTGGCGGCGGCGGCGGCGGCGGCGGTGGTGGTGGTGGTGACTGCAGCAAGTCGATCACGGCATGAGGGATTCATCAGGAGCGCATATGTTTCGGTCCATCACCTGGCAATGATCACCATGATCATGCGCAAATTCAGTTATTGCTCCTGCATCGTTAGCCAGTCTTAAAACTTATTTAAAGGGAGTGGGGGAGTGGATCCCTATGGTGATCTCTCCACACTTAGCACAGAGAGCACAGACACCCCAAAAAATCATTGCAAAAACCATTCACCTTGTTCACTCCACCGCGCCCCTTCAAGCCAAACTCAGGGTGGTGAACTGCTCCTGCTCCACAGTGATTTACGACCATGTCGGGAGCTCAGCCCAGAGCGTTTCGCCCTTACAGCTCCTGACCAGATCAGTGCTAAAGCATCAGGAAGCTGAACACTAAATGTCCACTGGGGTAATATTAGGGTTATATTGGGGTTATGTTAGGGTTATATTGGGGTTATAGGGGGGTTATACCCCCAGAGCAGTGGAAGTAAAGATCCTGGTAGTCACTTAGAAGACGCCCTAAACTCTAAACCCAGGACTCCGACAGCTTCCACGCAGAAGCTTGGTTCGCGGACCTGCAATCCGTGTCACAGGTCAACGCTGTGAAAGCCAAGGATGATTCAGGCTGAGCAGTTGAAATGGAGGAGGCCCCGAAGCTTTGAGAGAACTATATTACTATGGGGTATATGTTGGGGTTTTATAGGGATAGTGGAAAGCCAAATGGAAACTGCTATATTAAGATGACATATGTCCAACCACAGGACTGGTACGGCTCACAGGCTTCGTTATCACAAGGATCATCCGACTCTCGGAACTTTTGCTGAGAAGCCAACTGCCAATTTAGGCTTCCACAATGATGTGATTTGCAGGCTCCCTACAAAGAGAACCTGGTACTTGATGCTACAGAAATACACCCTCCTATTGAGAAGTAAGTTTCTCAAATGGATGGTACTTTCCCTAAATAGGGGGGCCCCAATATAGACCATAAAATACTATAGTCCTTGTTATAGGAACCCCAAAAACGGTACAGCTGACTTTGGGAAACTCCCAAATCTGTTGCGGCGCAGTGGGGCTTGCATTCTGGGCAAAGGCCCAGAGGGCAGAGGTGTCAGTCAACGCAAACGCGGCTTGACCAACACCCTGCTGGCAGCGACCGGCCTCTAAGCCAGCCAACTATATCATATGGGGATAATGGAAAAGAAAATGGAAGCGACAATTTTTTGGATATGTAGGGGCCACATAGGGATAATGGAAAAGAAAATGAAAGCTATTATTATATGTCGGGGATATGTAGGGGCCATATAGGGAGAACAGAAAGGAAAATGGAAGCTACCATAATGGGTTTAGGGCTTAGGGATATATAGGGACTATATACACGGCCTAGCGTTCAGTATTCAAGGTCTAGGTTCTACGATTTTGATGTTATGGGCTCTAGGGTTCACACCCCTATGCTCTGGGGGATGCTGCAGACCCCATTTCGGCGAAAACCCAACCCTAGGGATCCATGTATACAAATAATCCCTACATTGGGCCCCAAAGTCTGTAAATGTTACCTACATTGGGGCTATTTGGATCCCTAGGGCAAGTCTGCAGCCAGAGTGCAGCTTTTTGAATGCTCTCTGATGGCTGCCCTAAACCCTAAACCCTAAACCCTCTCTGAAGGCTGCCATGCCGGTCGCGCAGTAATCCCAATTCGTGGCTTGGCGCTCTCCACTTTTTCCAGCGTGGAGGTGGAAAAATGGGAGTAGTGGTTGCTCAAGGTACCGGATCCCTTTCCGGCATCTGAGATGACCCCATCTTAGTTGGACATGCAGGTCTCAACCAGCAGAGCAGAAACAAAAGTATCCATGATAACATGGCTGGCATTTGTAACCATGTAGTTGCTTTAGGAACATGGGACCATAATCCTAAACCCTCAACCCTAGACCTTGCACCCCAAGCTTCATTGGGACCAACTCTTAGAGTGGTGATGTTGGGGACTTGTCATGTTTACAGGTTTCCCTTCGCGATGGAGCGAGACCGTGGAACTTAACTTTGAGCCTAAAGCTGCCTGAAATGCAAACAGCTTCCAAGGTTTCGGGATTCTGCCCATGGCATACGGTGCCAAAGCCCCAGTTCTGGAACGAGTGGGGTGCAAAAGCAGAATCTGGGGAGCTCCTCCAAATCCTGGTTCCCATAGGGGGCAGCAAACATGAGTATTGACCTGTTGTTGTTGATCCTCTTATGCACTTTCGAGGCAGAGCGATTACCACCCGACTGCCCGGAATGCAAGGTAATGAGGCTTATCAGGGTGGTGCTGCTGCTTAGGATGGAGAGACTATAGCCTTCTATGGGCCGAGGTCTTTGGTCCCGACCAAAGCTGGTTGCAGACCCCTCACGCTCAAGCTGTGCCTGCCTCTGAATTGGAGTTCTTCTGCGATCATGTGACAAAGATTTTCTGTCCAAATTGCAACCTCTTCTGCGTATCCGCGTTACAGCGACGTCGTTTCGCCCCAAATCAACACCCATGCACCCATCATGTATCACCATGCTGTACGTCCTCATCATAATAGGTATCCACATGTGTTCAACAGCAGGAGCAGCAGCAGCAGCAGTAGTAGGAGGTGCAGGACGTACTGTAGTAGGAGCCAGGACGTAGCAGGTAGCAGCGGCAGCTAGTGCTCGCTGCAGCTTTTAGTTTCATGTGGGTCCCCTCCGAATACTGCATGAATCCTTACATCCGCAGTGAGGACTTTTGGAGCACTTTCCGGAACCCACAGGAGTAAAAGGCTCTTCGGGCCGTTGTATAGCTTCCCTGCAACACTGCGTCTTCTGGTCAGGTCTCATAAATGCCCTGAGATCGGTCTTGGGCCCCTTTGAGAGTAGGTAGAAATGGCTGGCTCACTCTTGCACGTGTACTGTGCTTACAGCATCTGCTGCGCGTGTCACAGCGGGAAGTAGCTGAAAACCGCGAGGGACTTCAGAGTCATTGCGAGTATGCGGACAAGTGCAAAGGGATTCACGGCCATATGCCATTCAGGGGACTGACCCCTGCACGTCGTCTTGGTAGCCCGATCACTTGAACCTAAAGCATCTCTTCAGCCCCTCTAGCCAAGCTTTTGAATTCCATGGCTCATCCCCAGGAGCTGCTTACATAGACCCTCCTATGTAGTTCCTTTTTTGGGTAGTATATTATAATTCCTTACCCAAAAACCATAACAAACCCAAAAAGGAACTACATTGGAGCCCTTGGGTACTTTGTCAATAAGCCCTCAACCGATTGAAATGGCCGTGGATTAGGCAGCTGGGCGACTGGGAATTGCGCCGGCGACGTTGGCCTTGAAGTGGGTGGAGCACCGAGGAAGAATGGGCCTGCGCGGGTCGCGATTATTCCTTCTACAAGTAGCTAGCCACCTTCATAGCCACTGTGTTTGTGTCTGCTTCAGCTGATGTTCTTCCTAAATCATCTTGAGCACGCCTTAGGGTTCCGACCACATAACTCGAATTCTGAGACTGATAGCAGCATCCATGCGCCGACATGTCCGCAACGCTTCTCATGGGGTTTCCTTTAGGTGCTCTCGTCTATCCATGACGCTTCTTGACTGGCTTTTAGAGCACAATGTCAAAGCGCCTCACTCCCTGTCTGTTTACGCATCTGCATGACCTGAACTGGCAGCAAGCCCCAATTGTTCCGTCTTCCCAGTGCGGTAGGATTTCTGGCCTTGGTGCCCGAACTTCAAGACCTGTTCCAGCGCGGTGCTCAAGGTGCTTTCCTGCTGAAAGAAAGGCACAGACAGGAGTCTTCATTTGTGAAACTGTCCGATGCTTCGACTTAAAGCCTCAGGGCCTCAAGTACTCGAACCTGTAGACATGCCGCGGGTGCATATTGATGAATGGAGACTGCAGCCGACATTGCTATGTGGGATACTTGCAAATCTGTTCACGTAAGATCACGGCTTCAGGTCGACCGAGATCGACGATCATCGCTGGTTCATGCACATGTGTCCCAACTGAGGGATGTCCACAATACTCAAGCAATCTTGCATGCATGACGCCATCACTACAGGTCCAAGGCTTTGTCATGTTGGGTCAGACTTGTATTTCTAGTGCGGCCCAGCAAGTGATGGGCGGACACATTGCAGTCAGTAGACATTTGAAGAGGAGGCCTTCATATAAGGTCTCGCATAGCCCCAAAACATAAATCCAATATCAAGCCTGTGTAATTACAATACATGCAGAGCCCTTTTCAACATCAACAGCGGCATGCCAGGTACCGTGAAGCGCCATCGGTGGAGGTTGGGAACGATTGGTAGCTTTGCATCATGGTCGCCATATTTACTTTATTGACAGCTCTCTCTGTTGCAGCAGTGACATCGTGAACGCTGCATGTTGCTAGTACCACAACGGCCTGTATCATGGCTGCGTGTCTTCATGTGTTGTTATCACTTACCACGGAGGTTGCGAAGCTTCAGTTTGGAAACGTTCTGGAAGTTCTTACAAGAAACCATGTATTCCCCAACAGCCCAGCCGTGTATCCACGGATCGTCCTTGTTAATCAGCAGCGATTGGACAACTTCCCTTTCAGCTTAACAAACCAACCTGGGATCGGTCCCCCAGATTGCTTCAAGGATCCCATTTGCTACGGAACAACAAATGCCGAACATAAAATCAACTCTCCAAGCTCAGCTGCGGCCTCAGATTTGCATGAAAGTCCTCGTGGGCACTAGCCTGGGTGCGATTCCTGCAGCGCCTCCAAGTGCAGAGGAGACGGATTCAGGGCTAGGTGTTGAGGGTTGAAGTTGAGGGCCTAGAGGCTTGGGTTAAGGGATTTGTTTCAGGCTTTGGGGGCTTTGCATCAAGCAGTAGCAAAACATCACAGCAAGTTCTGTAGCCCTGGGTGAAAACATGAACATACAGTGGGAGCCAGGGGAAGGACCCTCTGCACCGCAGCCCTCCTTGCCAAGCCATTGTTGAGGCCTTGTGACTAGCTATTGCTGCGTGGATTTTTGAGTTTATCCTTAAGCGTCTCCTACTCCTACCTGAAATCCATGACTTTTGGGCCGTTGGAGCTTTCGTGGTTGCCCGTACCAACGCGAACAACATCAAAAGTTACCACTCATATGGGATCAGAACCCCATATCACGCTGACTTAAACCTTATTCAGCGGTCTGATCTTCCAGCTCCTACGTGTAATGAGTCTGCATGAGGGGCTTCAGCTCTTTCCGAGGGGCCATCCTGTTTTTGGAATATTGGAAAATAAAATGGAAACTACTATAATAGGGTATATATTAGGGTTATATTGGGGTTATATTGGGATAATGGAAAAGAAAATGGAAACTACTATTATGTAGGGGTTATATAGGGATTATATAGGGATAATGCATTCCACAGTGCGCATGTTCATGTCCAAAGTCACTTCTGAAGCCATATTCCTAGTCCTTTAGCTTGGAGGAGGCTCCAGCTCGAATCCCGAAGGCCTTATTGGTTGATAGTAGGAAATGGGGGAACGGACCTATGCTAGCCTTTAAACTCGTATGGTATAATATGGTATTGTGTAGGATAGCATAGTATAGTATAGTATAGTAGAGTAGTTTGCCTTTCCTGTTCCATTCCTCCATTCGATAGTAGCGGGCCAACCCTAGCCCCAACT